CCTCAGCAGAACAAGTTCACAGTAGAGAAAGACCAGTGTCTCTATTACAAGAAGATGGGACATTATAAAAAAGATTGTCCCGATTACTTAAAGATGATCATGGCAAAGAAAGGTGAGAACATTATTACGTTCATAAATAAATCCCTGTATGTACAGTATTCGAAATCTACTTGGTGGATTGACTCAGGTGCAACTGTTCATGTTGCTAATTTTTTACAGGGATTCCATTCGTCGAGGACTACACAAAGAAGAGAAAGACACGTTAAAGTTGCAAATGGAGTCCGAGTAGATGTTGAAGCCGTTGGTGATCTTTCTCTAGAGCTTGTTGATGGTTTCACACTTTTACTTAGAGATATACTTTATGTTCCCGCTTTACAGAGAAACTTGATTAGTGTTTTATGCTTGGATAATAATGGATATGATTGCCATTTTGGAAATGGCAAATGTAAGATAACATTTAATAATACATGTGTTGGTCTTGCTATCTTACAAAATGAGCTTTATTTGTTATCACTACGTGATGATGTGAATGTTGTATGCGATGATGGGAACGTTGCGTGCGACAATGAGAATGTATCCTCGTCTGCGGATGTAAACAGAAAACGAAAGAGAGCTCACGATGCGTCGTCGAAATTATGGCACTGTCGTTTAGACCATATTTCGAGGGGAAGAATAGAAAGACTAGTTAAGAATGATATTCTTCCTCCATTGGAGCTCTCAGATTTAGAACAATGCAGAGAATGCATAAAAGGAAAGTATGTAAAGAAAATTAAGAAAGATGCCAAACGAAGCGCAGGAATTTTTCAGATTATTCACACGGACATCTGTGGTCCGTTTCCTGTAAAGAGTGTGGATGGTTATGATTCGTCCATAACATTCACAGATGATTACTCCCGTTATGGCTATATTTATCCAATTAAAGAAAGAACATAAGTATTGGATAAATTTAAGATATTTAAGGCAGAAGTTGAAAACCAACACAATTTAAAGATTAAGATAGCCAGGTCCGATCGTGGGGGGAGTACTACTGTCGGCATACCCCATATGGCAAAGTTCCTGGACCTTTTGCAAGGTTCTTATAGGAGAATGGCATGGTAGCCCAATATTCTACACCGGGCGAACCTCAGCAGAATGGAGTACGTAAAAGACGCAATCGTACCCTGATGGATATGGTGCGTAGTATGATAAGTTACTCCACCATACCGTTGAGCCTGTGGATGGAGACGTTAAAAACCGCCATTCATATTCTCAATAGAGTACCAAGTAAGTCGGTGCCCAAAACACCGTATGAGTTGTGGACAGAAAGAGTACCCTCACTAAATCACTTACGTGTGTGGGGGAGTCCTGCTGAGGCTAAAGTATTTAACCCAAACATTGGGAAGCTAGATCCCAAAACAGTAAGTTACTATTTTATTGGCTACCCAGAAAAGTCAAAAGATTTTCGTTTCTACTGTCCAGACAGACATACAAAGTTTGTGGAAACGAGACATGCTGTCTTCCTAGAGGATAAAATGATGAGGGGGAGCATGGTAGCTCGAGAAATTGACCTTGAAGAGAAGCGGGTGCATGTGCCCACTCCGATGATTCATGAGCCATTTTTCTCACTATCTGCTGTCGCTGCACCGATAGTGCAAGATACTGTGGTGCTAGCACCTGCTGTTATTCCGCCTGTGGCAACAATGAATAACGATGATGAACCTATTTCTTCATAATCCTATAGAACCTATTGCCACACATGAGGGGGAGCAACAATAGCCTCAAACAGAAGATGTGCCAAATGTGGAGGCCTATATAAGGTCTCAAAGAGTTAGAAAATCAGCTATTCCTGCTGACTATAAAGTATACAATACTGAGGAATTTCAAATGGAGGATGATCCCACCTCATTTGAAGAAGCCATGAGAAGTGATCATTCATCAAAGTGGCTTGAGGCCATGAAAGATGAAATGAAATCTATGAATGCCAATAAAGTTTGGGACTTAGAAATAATTCCTAAAGAGTCAAAACAGTAGGCTTGTAAATGGGTCTACAAAACAAAACTTGACTCTCAAGGAAATATAGAGAGATATAAAGCGTGACTTATGGCAAAAGGCTTTACGCAAAGAGAAGGGATTGATTATAATGAGACCTTTTCTCTAGTCTCATGTAAAGATTCCTTCAGAATCATAATGGCATTAGTAGCACATTACGATTTAGAATTACATCAGATGGATATAAAGATGGCATTTCTCAACGGGGACTTGGAGGAAAATGTTTACATGGCACAACCGAAGGGTTTTGTCATGGAAGGAAAAGAACGAATGGGATGCCGCCTAAAGAAATCCATTTATGGATTAAAACAAGTTTAAAGATAGTGGTACTTGAAGTTTGATTAGACAATAAGGAATTTTGGGTTTAAAGAGAATGTTGAGGACAATTGTGTATATGAAAAGTTTAAGAATAGGAAGTTTATCTTCCTTGTCCTGTATGTGGACGATATCTTACTTGCTAGTAGTGATGTCAGTCTACTACTGGAGACAAAGAAGTTTTTATCCTCAAAATTTGATAGGAAAGATCTTGGTAAAGCCTCGTTCGTTCTAGGGATCGAGATTCACCGAGATAGAAGTAAAGGGGTATTAGGACTATCACAAAAGGCATACATAGAAAGGATCTTAAAGAAATTCAGTATGCACAAATGTAGTCCCTCACATGCTCCTATAGTCAAGGGCGACAGATATGGGGATTTTTAATGCCCCAGGAACCAATATGAGATCGATGAAATGAAAGCAGTTCCATATGCTTCAGCTGTCGAAAGCTTGCAATATGCTCAAGTATGTACGTGCCCTGACTTGGCATTTGTTACTGGGTTACTTGGCAGATTCCAGAGCAATCCTGGAACAGAACACTGGAAATTAGTAAAGAAAGTCTTGCGTTATTTGTAAGGAACGAAAAGCCTCAGGATGACGTATAGAAGATCTGATTCACTCCATATAGTGGGATATTCAGATTCTGATTATGCAGGAGATGATAGAAATTCACGTCTGGATATGTATTCACTCTTGCAGGGGGAGCTATTTCATAGAAAAGCTCAAAGCAAATTGTCACTACATCGTCCACAATGTATGCCGAGTTTGTAGCGTGTTATGAGGCAACGGGGCAGGTGAACTGTCTAAAGAAGTTCATACCCGGTTTGAAGGTGGTTGACAACATCTATAGACCACTTAAGTTATACTGTGATAAAAATCCGGTAGTACAGTATGCTCACAACAATAAGTCAAGTGGTGCTTCCAAACACATTGACATAAAGTATTATGTTGTGAAAGATAAAGTCCGGGATCATGTCATAAGTCTTGAGCATATAGGTACCAAAAATATGCTCGTGAATCCACTTACAAAAGGCTTACCACCCAACGTGTTCAGAGAACATGTAGCCGGCATGGGTTTAAGGGAAAGCCTATAATTCCTGGATAAAAGAAGGCCCAAAGTTAAGTATCTATTTCAGAACAGAGTGGTGTGTTGTAGCTATTAAATCTATCGGCAATTGACCGTGATGATGAAACATGCTCTATGCGCTAATCTATAATGGAATGAACAAAAGTAAATGATATAAAATTGAAAGATGGTAGGAGATCAAGCGGGAGATTGTTAGACTGATCTATAATCTCAAACTAGGCTCAATGACCCAGTTGGGCCTTTGATCCGCACCCTGATCGGGGGCGCCCAGCCCACTATGGCTGGAGGGCCCTTGTCACACTGCGCAATAAATAGAGGTGGGGGCCGGCGGCTCAAGTCATGAGGTTCGCCTGAGTCGAGCTCCCCACCGACAAACCCTAAACTCGATCTAGTGAGGGGCGTAGCCAGTGATGGGAAGCACCTCCACCACTGCACTGCGCCGCCATCGGTCTTCACCGCCGGTCGCCGCCGCCCATCACCGACATCGTCTTCACTGACCGTCGCTACCCTCGCGCAGATACCGGCACAACAACCATGGCCGACGCCTCTGGATCAAAGACCTACGATGGTCGGTAACCTAGCTCTCTTCCTCCCTTTAATCTCTGTCTAGTAGATGTACTAGTACATGTTATCCGTTTACTAGATGTACCCGACTATATCTATGACCATGTGATCAGAAAAGTTTAACAGGTCGGTGTCGACGTCGCGGATGATGTCGAGGATGGCCTGGTCGTTGGGGCCCAGCTCCTCCCGCAGCTCCTCCGGCTCAATGAAGCCGCTGTCGTCCTTGTCGAAGTACCTAAACGCTGATGCCAGGTACTCGTCGTTGCTCGTCTTCTTGAGGTGCAGCGACACCGTCATGAACTCGTCGCAGTCCAGCGTGCCATTGCCGTCCGTGTCAGCCTACATGCATGCATGTCGTCATCCGGTCTGAGAATGAAAAGACGAGCGGCGGCGGCGAGCCGTCGACGATCGAGGAAGGAAGGAAGCAAGCAACCAAGCAATGAATGAAGCAGAGCACTCATGGCCTCGAGGAGCATCCTGATCTCTGACTCTGGGACCGACTGGCCATTGATGTGGAGGCCCTCCATGAGCTCCTCTAGCGTGAGGTTGCCGTTGTGGTCCTTGTCCATGAGGTGGAACATCTACATGTACTTGTCCAGCTCCTCCACCGGTAGGTTCTGCGCCACCACGCCCAGCGACACGTTCGGTGCCGTGTCCACGTTCTTTAGCCATGGGTGCTCTACACGCAATTGCATCAGTGCCGTGCATTCTCGACATCATATCACCCGTGATCAGCACCAGAGGCCAGGACGATCGGTGCCTTACCAAGCACCTGCCTCGCCGTGAGGCGGGTGGAGGGGTCGGGGTCCAGCATCCGCCGGATGAGGTCCTTGGCGTTGGCGGACACCCTCGGCCATGGCTCCCGATTGAAGTCAATGATGTCACGGAGGACCACCTGCGCGATCTTCTCGTCGTTGTTTGCATGCATGCATTAATTGTTAAGATCAGCAAAGCACCGGGCCGGAGGAGGAAGAAAACGCATGCACGCCGCCTATGGCCTACCTCCCTAGAATGGTGGGATGCCGCAGAGCAGGATGTAGAGGATGACGCCGATGCTCCAGATGTCCACCACCGGCCCGTAGTTGCGCTTCAGCACCTCCGGCGCCATGTAGTACGCGCTCCCCACCACCTCCGTGAACCGATCGCCGGGGCTAAAGAAGACGGAGAGGACGAAGTCGATGACCTTGAGCGGGGAGTCCTCCGACTTGTTGGCGAACAGGAAGTTCTCCACTTGAGGTCCCTGTGGATGACCCCGTTGGAGTGGCACAGCCGCACGACATCGACGATGGTGCCGAACACGCCCGCCGCGGTGCGCTCCGAGCAGTGGCCACGCGCGACGATGTGGTCGAACAGCTCCCCGCCCTCATAGAGCTCCATGGCGAGGTGCACCGCGCCGCCGCCGGCGTACTCGTAGCAGGCCTCACAGAGCCGCACCATGGTCGTGCCGCCGCGGGATGACATGCATCGCATGATGGCCACCTCCCTCTACACGTCCGCCGCGTGCGCCGCGGCCGCGGCGTCCTGCTGCACGGCTGAGGCCGGGGGCGCTCCGGCCAGTCCATGGGGACCGACACCCGCAGCGTTCCCAGCTCTGGCCCCCGGGCGGCGGACGCCGGGGCCGCCGCCGCCGCAAAGCCGACGGTGCCTCCAGATGGTCTTGCACGCGAGCGCCTCGCCCGTGGCGGCGTCCCGGCAGCGGCGCGTGACACCGAACTCACCGCGCCCCAGCTCCCGGCCGAGCACGTAGCGGCGCGCGAACTCGGCCGTGGCGGTCCGGACCACCAGCGGCCCGGCATCGGTGGCGGCGTCGTTCTTGCGTGGGGATGGGGACGGGGACGGCGTGGCGGACGCGGCGGAGCTGGTGCCGCCGTCGCTGGAGCGGTCATCGCGGTCGCGCTCGGTGATAGGGAGGACGAAGGAGATGTGGTCGCGTAGCTTCTGCGAGCAAGCGAAGGCGGAGTAGCAGCCCCCATGGGTCCGGCGGGGCCACGGCCACCTCGGCCTCGGCCTCAGCGCGTGCGTGCGCGAGGACGCTGGGTTGGGCTACGCTTGTTGTCTTTGCTTGCTCTGCCGGTCAGAAGCTCCCCCTCCACCTCGTTCGGTTCGCCGTGAGCCTCGCGGCGGTGCCCATGCCTGTTATCCCTATTCTATTCATGAGAACCAGGCCACAGCGCAGAGCTCCCTCGGCCCTTCGTGTACACTAGAAAGAGAAGAGAAAGAGAGAGAGAAAGAAAGTTTGGGTGGCTGACAAACGGACCCACTGTAGGGTAAAATGGTCATTTCACCTATCTGTTTGACACCATTAAATAGAAAAGCGGACGGAAATAGCTTGGAGAGCAAAGAAGTTTAGAACGATAGCACTCGTCGGAGCTCATCTTTTTTAATAGCTTGTGCGTAATTGCAAACTTTTTTAATGACACACAGATAAAAGCCTCATCCAACATACACTTAGCCCTCCTCAGCCCCTCATGGCCTCACGCATACACCTAGGAACCGAGCTGCCCAAATTTTTTTATTTTTAGCTCTTTTTTGAAAAAAAATCACAAATATGCCCCTAGAGGTATGATTTCAAAATCTGGACCCTTAGCTCGGCGCCATCGATGGTGGCGCCAAGCTTACATGTCTTAGCGCCATACATTCTGGAGCCAAGCTTGGGGCCATGTTGGTGGCGTGGACGCTGACATGGCAGCCAGCTCAATGCCATGGATCTTGGCGCCGAGCTCGGCTCCAACAATCACGACGCCAAGCCTTCTCTCTTACGTATGGGCCCTCCCTTCCTTTCTCTCTTCCTCTCTCTTTCTCTCTACCGAGCCGTCACCACTGCCGCACCGTCCCCGCCCGCGCCATCGCCGCCGTGCCCGTGCCGGCCATCCCTGCCCGCGCCCGGCCGCGCCAAGTAAAAATTATGAATATGCAATGTAGGTACTTAGTTAGCTTTGATTGTAATGTAGTAGTTCAATTATTTGTTATTTACTAGTTAATGTGATGACTCAGGTAGTTGATTTAGTTAGTGATCTAGTGAGATAGATATGTAGATAGATAGACACATATATACATAGGTACATAGATATAGTTAGATATGTAGATAGATAGAAACATAGATACATAGGTACATAGACATAGCTATTTTATGAGTACACTGTACATATATACGTAGTTATTATCTTATTTACTTAGTTTGTAGTTAGAAAGTATTTGTTAGGTACTATCTATCGTCTAATTTGGACTAAAGGGCATGTGTTTCGTTACGTGTTTGAACTAGATGGACAATTTAGTGACCATATAACATGGAGGCACCGTTGAATACGATCGCTATGGATATGTTGAGTTTGTTGACATGCAAAGCGTGCCTGTGCTATTCAATGATATGCCTTCATTTAGTGAGATGGTTGCAAGGGCTTGGGAGGAGCTGCATTGCCTTAGAGATGATGATGATGGCATTGTAGTTGAGGGTGTACTGCACCTAGGTTCTCCTCCCAACATCCTCAGGTGAATAATCCCAATTGGGTGTGCGGATCAGTGGGAGAACTATGTGAGATCGGCTATGAAGAGCCAGCTACAATGTTTGGACGTGGTTGTGCGTCGGGTGTTAGTTGATCCCATCCCTCATGGGTTTTCCCCACCAATGGGTCAATAGGCACACTTCGACCCTCCCATCCCGAAACCTGATATGGATGTGGAGGTTGCACCTACGGTTCTCGATGCTCAATTTGCCTACAATGAGGTAGTTGGAGATGCTTGTCAAACTCATGATGTTGTGGCAGATCCTCCTCATGAGATCCTTTTGACACAGAATTATCCGAGTAAGTGTCTTATCCGCATGGTTATTGGAAGCTTACCCCTTCCTTACATCTATTTCTTTCATTCTTTCCTCATTTCTCTACTTATGTTGCAGGAGACATTCCTGACAATGTGGATGTGCCCCCTGTTGCTGCGCAAGTGTACTGTGGAGATGGATTCCGTGGCTCCAATAGTATTGAAATTATGAATGATTCGAAGCCATATGAGATGGCAAGGGCTCTTGATTCTGATGATGATCACCCTGTTGGAGAGCTGACAAAGAGTGATGTTGAGATGCTAAGGCGTATCTTTCCCGGCCGCCATAATCCAAGAGTTTACGAGTTCAGCGATCTTGCTCATTCCGATCAGGCGTGTGCAGAAGGACGTGATGATGAGCTCCTAGAAGCTCCTGAGGTGGTCCTAACATGGTAATTGAGAATGAGAGGGTATTCAAGGACCTCCCTGCAATGAAGAGGTGGTTGTAGGTGTTTGCAGTGATACAAAAGAGACCTTACAAGGTCTTGCATTCATATGCGGAGCACCGTTACACAGTTGTGTGTGACAAGGAACGCTGCCCATGGAGGGTTTGTGCAAGGAAGCAAAAGGTCATCGGAAAGTAGAAGATCACAAAAGTTGTTGGGCCACACAATTGTGCTGACCATGTGCTGACACTGAAGCATCGACAGTTGACATCTACCCTCATTGCCAAGCGGTTGATGGAAATATTGTAAGGAGAACCCAACATAAAAGTTAGGACAATTATCAGGACCATTGAGGCGTTGTATGAAGGTTATGTGATAACTTATGGTAAAGCTTGGACGGCTAAGCAGCGAGCGTGGAAGATGATATATGGGGACTGGGAGGATGGGTATGAGCAGCTGCCAGTACTTTTCAATGCAATCAAAGCGGTGAATCCAGGCATGCATTATGAGTACATCTCAAAACCAAATGCATGGAAGGATGGGAGGCGGATATTCTTCCATGCTTTCTGGTGCTTCCCTTAGTGTGTCGAGGTCTTTAGGCATTGTTGTCCCGTCTTCTCCATTGATGGTACGTTCTTAATAGGCAAATACCAGGGCACACTTCTTATAGCCATATCCTGTGACGCGAACAACAAGTTGGTTCCTTTAGCATTTGCTTTGGTTGAGAAGGAGAACAATGACAGTTGGAGATGGTTCTTGAGGCTAGTTTGGATACATGTGGTTGGGCCTGATAGGGAGGTTGGTGTCATATCTGATAGGCACCAGGGCATACATCTAGGCTTTTCAGTAACAATGAATGAATCTGAGCTTTTCAGACAATGAAAGTAGACTTTTCAGTTACAAGGACGAGGAGTACGATGACAGCAGCGATTTATCACTTCACTTACATAGTACACCTATAGTATCTAGGCTTTTTAGTGATTTATCATGTCAACGACGAATAGACTTTTTAGGGAATGAATCTAGGTTTTTCAGTGTCCATTGAAATAGGCTCTTTAGTGAAACTAATTAGGCTTCTTGTGACCAGTTATAACACATTAAAACGGCAACTAAACCTACCTCTGCCTATATATACGCAATGCTGGATGCATTGCTACTTACTTCCCAACTAGTATTTTCTTTCGTTGTAGTACCAATGTCTGGAGGATCATCCAGAGGGAGAGGAAAGGAAAAGGGAACTACCATTGTGTGGGAGGGTTCTCTTGGTTCCGATTTCTTTGAGGAAGCTCTTTATGAGAGGTTCCCAGTTGAGAGCAAAAGTGATTTCAGCAAAGAGGCACCACTGAGAGGATACGATGAACGAAAAGAAGAGTGGCCAAAATGCATGCATGGTGAGGACTGCCTAGTGCAGATGTCCACCGAGGGAATAGATGGAGGTCATCGTTTCTTCAAATGCCCGTGAGCATGGGTAATTGCTGTTACTATTTATTTCTTCAATATGTTCCTCTTCTATACAACTTACATGACATACTTATTGCAGTTTTCCTTGGCCGAAGAAAATTGTGGCTTCACTAGGTGGGTCGATCCTCGACCTATTTATCCGTATGCGGAGTACATCTACTACTTGCAGGACCGTATCTTCAATCTAGAAAGAGAAGTTAGCAGCGGTTACAAGGACGACGAACATGACGACAACAACAATGGTGCCGATTCACAGGAGGCATTATGCAATGATCCATATTGCACCTTCCCTAACCACAAGAACAAGGGGCCTCCGCCGTCACCCCAGCCACCACCACCACCAACAATGGGAGGCTACTATGGAGAAGGTGCAACACAATTTGCTATGTGGTAACACTACTAGGACGACCTTATCTTATTCATATGGCACATCCATGTGTTTGTTGTTTGATTTAATTACCTAAGACATGTTAGGTTTAGTCGAAGGAACTCTGTACCCTAATTCGGTACATGTTCTCACGTGCCATTTCATGTGTTTTGTGTGTTGAATTATATAATGCCCTACTTCGTTAGGTTGTGTTTGCAGCACGTGATCACATTTCACTATGTCCGCAACATTATACTGAATATTATGACCACAAATAATGAAAACAACTACATAATGAAAAGTCCAATACTATGCCACATTAAATAACACAATAATATTTGAGATAAATTGAGGAATTTAATTCTAGAGGATTTGGCAAATTGATGCACCTCTTTCGAAACAAAAGAAATACATTGATTTGTAGTTAAAGTTGGAAGTATGTTGAATATATGAATAATATGTTCAGTAATAAATTCAAATACCTCATGCGTCATGTTCTTCAAAAGCCTACCTCAACTAGGTCAGCGGAAATAAAGCAAGGCCAGTGACCAGCGCAGGGCATGCCGACGTGTGACCAGCACCACGTCGGCATAATAGCCTGGAATCATGGTTAAGGAATCCAGCATGTCCCTATTACTTACTACAATTTACAGCCACGATAGCTTTTTAATTTTGCTTTGCTTGCCTTTCCTATGACACTCAGGCTGTACCTTGCTATTCCTGTCCCTAATCAGAACTACAGCCCGGTTGTAATAAATTGCTTAAGTGCCCTGTTAAGTTCCAACGACATTTTGCTTCATGCAGCTCTATTGATCCCAGTACCATTGTTACAGACAGTGAATTCAAAGATGTTCACTGTTTACGCCACCATTTTAAGTTCAGATGTTCTAACTCCAGACATAATAGCCTGCCTGCGGTGAAGCACGGGGTGCTGTCTAGCTTATACAATGTTGAGCCTATCAGTTTTTTAACTAAAAAAGATGAAACTTTTTTGAAAACCACATTTAACCCGGACATGAAGGTAATTTAATCGATTTTGGGAGTTGAAGGTTAAAATGTCAAATTTTGAAGTTCGAAGAGAAATAATTTATCAGGAAGATAAAAGACAGTATTCCGGTCTCGGCCAGGCCCGCCACGACACAAAACCGCCCTGCACCGCCACTGACCTGGCTCCTGGCCCTTTCTCAGCCCGGCGCCGCAACGCAAAACCTGGCGAGGGTTTTCACCGCCGTCGCGCAGCTCCCTTCGTTTCAATTCGAACAGCAAAACTCCCTTTGCAGTCGTGGAACTATCACAACCGGCCAGAGCGCGACTGCGGCGGCGAGGGAACAAATACCTTCTCGGAGCATGGCCACCTCTACCGAGCCGGAGGGCGCGTCACCCGCGGCTAAGGGGACTAAAGGAGAGGCCAACAGGAAGGGGAGCAGCGAACAGGGAGAGGGGGGCCAGGGAGGCGCAGGTAGCAGCTGCGGCGGCGGCTGCCAGAAGCGGAAGAAGAAGGTGGTCTTCATCTACGGCAACTACAAGAACTACTACGGCTACCGGGTGAGCGCGAAACCGCTTCCGTTTGTGCTTTTCCCTAGAACTGCTACTCTCCAATCAGTGTTCACGCGCGGTCGCCAGCTGTTCGACGATATGCCTCACAGTAGGTTCAGGTGTTCGTGGGGTTTGGGTATTTCGGTTCAATTGGGTTGTTTTGGATTGACCCATGACCCAGAGAAAGTTAAACTTACATCCCTAAGTGCGTGACTAGAGATGGACAGATGGTTCACGGGGATGAAAGCACTGGTACTGGCCTGTGGACTGAGTGTTGTTGGCCGGACTACTGTGCAGGGATGAGTAGATGAGCTCTTTTACATGTACGTCCTGACCTCAGATTTTCCAATATTAATTCCGTATAATAGCATTAGCATGCCTAATGACTAGCGGGCAGGGATGAGTAGATGGAGCTCTTTTACATGTAACTCCTAACCTCGGATTTTTCAATATTTTATTCCGTAATAGCATGCCTAAATGCTATTAGGGTGGGAGGGGATTTAACATTTTCCAGCTGATATAAATTATAACTTCAATAATTCTACAGATTGACCGTAATGTTGGTGAAGATCCTCGCCTCGAGGTGTTCAAGAAGCAGTGGTTTGAAAACAAGGATTGTCTCGATATTGGATGCAACCAGGGTTTGGTAACGATTGGCTTAGGTAACCTTTTGATTTTGGGGTATAAACTCTTGATTTCATTCGCTACATTCTTATATAGCATGCTTATAGGTGCTATGTAGTTCTTGTAGACAAATGTCTCAATCCCCAAGATGAGGTCATTAGGTTTCTCACGTTTGTTTTCTTAATCTTGTGCAGCCATGAAATTTAATTGTCGAAGCATTCTTGGAGTTGATATTGATTCAGGTTTTTAATCCCCCTTAATAAACTCCTGTTGCGTGTCGAATCTCCTCTCATGTTCTGTCGTTGAATATTACTTGAATCGAATTCATTTTTATCTTTCCCTGTTAGGTTTGATTGAGACTGCTAAGTGGAACCTACGAAGGATAATGCGGCAGGATAAGGTGGCTAAAAAAAACGTGAAAGCTCAGGAATTGTCAGATTCTCCTTCTCAGAGCTCTCCAGGAGAAGTGGCATCTGAATTATCAAATGGGAACAGGCACCAAAATCTTTTTAAAATTCTCTCTTTTCGACGCGAAAATTTTGTAGAGAGTATGGATGGATGTTCAGAACAGTATGACACCATACTCTGGTAAGTTACAGATTAATGATAGTGATCTCTCAAGAATTGAAGTTTTCTTTGTACTGTTCTTCCCCACAGTGCCACTAGCTTATTTTTTAATTTTTTTATGATGTAGTTTGAGTGTGACAAAATGGATCCACCTGAACTGGGGTGATGATGGCCTAGTTACTTTGTTCGTGAAGATCTGGAGGCTTCTTAGACCGGTATCTATGCTTCTCTATTTCCTGGTCTTCTAAATTGCACATAGACGGTAAGAGGAAAATTACATATTTTTCCCATATGTAATTTTGCAGGGAGGTGTTTTTATCATGGAGCCTCAACCATGGAGTTCATATAAGAATAACAGATTAGTTTCAGAGGTTGGTTCTTTTTGTTCAGATTATGTGACCAGCTAACCCTTCTTGATATTTTTCTTTACACTGCATTGAAACGGGTAATGTTAGTTGTTTCTTAGAAGGAAGTTGTTTGTGAAAATCTTGCTGCACTTTCCATTAATTAGGCTAAAAGTGACTCTTGACAAGCCTATGTTCTTAGCTGCTGCACTCTTGATCCTAAGCTCAAGTGAACATACCATAAATGATCAAAATCCTCTGCCAAATTTAATACAAATTATTGATTCTTTCATGTTGTAGACCTTTCAATTTCCCTGAGCGTGATAAACCTGCAATTCTTACTACCTTTTCCCTACCTGTTTTCAGGTTGCCAAAGAAAACTTCAACACCATCTGTATATACCCAGAGACATTTCGGGAGATTCTTCTAGACAAGGTATTTTATTTTGGCTGCCGACTCAAAGTTTTGTTCTTGATCCTTTCAGCAGAATTTCAGTAAACAATGTGGTGTTTGTGCTGCCAGATTGGATTTAGGTCAGTAGAGTTGATTGCGGACAGATTTGTGGGTACCGTCAGTGGTTTCAACCGCCCAATAGAAGTTTACCACAAATGATGAATCTGGGTCAAGGATTGTGGCATCCCTGCCCAAGTGCACACTCCCTGACCAAATGATTGTGTTGAGCTTTGAAATGCTCGCTGACTGACTGGGTACAAGTACAACAATGAAGGCCTTGCATTTTCAAAATAGAGTATCAGATGTCAAAAGATCAAGATGGAAGAGTGGTGGTAGGATGTTGTGTTCTCTAGATGGAAATGTTGGGAATTTTGTCAATGGTTTTGTTCTTGTATAAAAATGGATAATGGACACCGTACCCTGAAAGGGAAAAAAGAGGCTTCCATGAATATCAATTTTGCCTGCTATGAACATCGTGATTGCTCTTGCATATTGTTTGCTGCTTATATATGATCATGATTTTAGGGAATCAAACCCAGTCAGCATAGCTAAATAGTAAATACCAAGGATGACAAAGCATCTCGAGTTAAGCAAACTTCCAAAAGAACACGTAATCCCACGCTCCCAGCTACAAAACAGAAACTCAACTAAAGACCGATCACACAGAGTTCTTGAAGCCCATCCATCCTGGACAGATCCAACCCTCCCAACTCGCATCTGAACACAGGAGCGCTTGAGGTTAGTTTTAGCGAGCGAAGAGTGTCGTACTTGCTTAATTCTTAATAATATAATAATTTCTTAATTTGAGCGAACGAAGTCAAATGAAAGAGTCTACTTGCTGGTGCTGGCAATGACAAATGCCTTGTGTAGAGTTCAGGTGCTTATTTGTGTGTGTGTGTGCAGTGGAAGTGCCTTCTTTATGATGGCTTCCTTTATGTGCTGAAGGTTGCTGCTGCACCATCAGTACTTCAGTAGTTCAGTACAGCTGAAGAGAATCCCCAGTTCACCGGTCACTTGTAGCTCAAGCTTAAGCTGGATGGACCCCCACACTGAAAGGCATTAGATACATCATACATCCATCAGGGTCAGGGTGGATTTGGGGTGACTAATGTGAATGTCATGAGTTTAAGTCCCCTAGTTTTTTTTTTTTGGAAGTTAAAATGCATCCTCATTTTTTCTTTTTTTTTTGTCTTTTTTCTTTTGAAACCTACTATTGCTTGAAAAAGCAGCACACAACATTTCCTACAGAGCTTACAGTTTCTTGTGAAAGAGGATGAGCATGTGCACAAGTAGGTCACCCAGCTGGTTGAAGAGAATTCGCAGATGGCTCTTGCTTTCGCGATCTGGAAATTAGTTTGCTTGTTTTTTTGGATATGGAACTAGATCTGATCTGCGTTAGTTCTGATAAAATCAGATGACACTTCATCGAATAGTTTGTTATAGGGTCGATGACTAAATTCAGCAGCTTAATACTCCTTCCGTTTTAAATAGTAACTCGTTCTAGTTTTTTTACCTAGCTGCACCCAGATAATTTGGAATGTAAGGAGTATTTGAGATTTTAGTAGAACCTTTAGTATTTTAGCTAAATTAATTTTCTGTACTAAAATATTTGTTAAGCTTGAAAGTTATCTATGCACCCATGGTTCAGGCATGAGTAGTTCTCGGCAAGTTTATTTTTAATTTAATTGTTGGCCTCATCCAGCCTCTGCTAGCTCTTTCTCCAATTTTTTCGCCCAATTTCGTACTTTCAGTTAACTTTAGCTTTTGAATGTTCTCTTCTTTGTGGTTCCAACATGCTAATTTGTCCATTAGACCGTCTGTTGCAGCACAATGATGAATCGGAGATGGTGCAAGCAAGAACTTGTTGGTCTGAATGTATGATTAAGTGACTATAAAGCAGTAACCTTTTTATTTGATTCAGAAGCAGCTGTTGAATCTGGAAAACGTAAGACTTGATGCTATTTGCCCTATTCGTTTGGGTTGGTTTGGCTTGCTTATAAGCCATGGCTAAAAGTACTGTTGGCTGGTTTGGTGTGAGAGAAAAATACTATTCGTTGACTAATAAGACATGGCTTATAAGCCAGATACGAGCAAACGAACAGGCTGATTATAGTTACAGATTTCCTTACCCACGGCTCCATAGCTCCAAAAATGCATATAATTTGATAATTTACGCTCTTCATTACAAATGCATACGTGTTTGTTTCTCTCTTTACGTTCCTAATAGTAAAAAAGGTGTCCCCAGTGCAGAGAGCTCCCGCTCTGTGCGGGGTCTAGAAAAAAAAATGTTAGTGGCAAGTCTTCATTTGTTTCAATATGTATTGAAGGACGCGTGCGGGTAAAAGGCCACAACCGAAAGCACAGTATCCAGGCGTTGGAAGAGGCGAGCGGGTGTGTAGCCAAGCGGGGTTGAGCAAGTGGGCCGTGTGATCGGACCGAAATAGGATGGACCATACGAAAAAAATAGTAAAGAAATTTTGGCTTTTCATGATTTTATAGGTCTTCGTTTCGAATTTAATTTGATTTTTCAAAACTGAACTGATTTGATCACTTTCATAAAAATAGAAAAGCTAATAGCAGCTTTTTCATCGGAAACCCTGGATTCGGTATAATTATGATCTGACCTTTTACTATTAAACTCTCTCATAAGTTTACCAATAACCCCCTGGATTTTACTCATTTCCCATCCGCAATCCCTTATCTATTCCTCACGCACGAACAGAGCACCGAGCAGCGGAGACCCTCTACTACGTGTATGCGCATATCTAGTGGACGGAGGTGTGGCTCGGGGTGCACCATGGCATGGCTAGCCACGGGCGACGACCATGGCCGCGCAGTTCACCGCCGTGGCGACGGTGTTCCGGCCAAATAGGGGACACGGTACGGACGGGATGAAGGCTCGGGGAGCTAGAGTAGATTACCACGGACTCGGCTACGGCACTGGAGGGGACAGTCGTGGCTCGAGGAAGGCTGGCCGCGTGCGTGGCGAAGGGGCAGTCAGTGCGCCGAGACTGGCAAGGCGGCGTCACGTCATCGCCGGCCCTGTCTCCGGCCGAGGCCGCGAGCGCGTCGACTTCGTGAGGCTAAGGGAGGGCCATGACACAATTTAATTTGAACGAGATCGAGGAACGGGGCTTACCCCAAATCGTGCTCTGTTTCAACGGGGAGATGACCGGCGGCGGCGGAAACCCAAAATACCGGCCACGCCGAGATCAGCCAGGACTGGACTGCCATGTTTGTTTGTCTTGAGGAATTGGAGGATTTTTTCTCTTGGCAATTTTGAAAGGCGGAGGAACGAGCTCGGCACTGTGGCGACAATGAATTTGGTCATTCTATGTTTAAACGCGCCGGTCGGCTTTTTTAAGGGGTCCGGCTAGATTTATAAAAATTCCGGCCTGGGGACCTGCGATTATGACATATCATGAACCGGCTGTTTCTTCGCTTTGTGGCCTAATTGGAGATTGGGCCCCTGGAAAACAGAGGACGAGGAGACGTTCCTCCGGCCTGCGCCCGCGCCACCGTCCATCTCCAGGCGAGGAGATGCTCCTCCGGCCTACGCCCGCGCCGCCATCCATCTCCCGTCGCGTCGCGCCGGCCTCAGAATTAAGGATAAGACGAGACATAAAGAACCGGACGGGGAGAGGAAGGAAGGACGGGCAACCCGTAAAAACTGTGAGCGGAAAGCAAGGTATTACTGGACTGTTGGCCTAGATTGAATAGGCTGGATGGAAAAAATAATCAGAAATTTTGTCTTTCTATTATTATGGATAAATAGATACCTACAATCGTACTCAAAATATGGTAAGCACGAGATCTTTACAGTTAGGAGAGACTAACATTTTTGCTTTACCTAATAATTAGTCCTAAAATTGTTAAGATACCTTTCATTTCAGAATTAAGCGAGTATCAACCATACTTGCGGATTCCATTTTTTCTCTTGGAATTCTTGTGCCGGTCAATACCCACTCCCTGTCTCCTAAAAAGAATCTCATTCTAGGTTTAAACTAAGTTAAATATTTTTAAATTTGACTAGATTTATAGAAATATTGATACTTATTATGACATATCATGAATACAGTTTCTTCCTTTTGGTTAAATTTGAGATTGTTCCACTCCAAAACGTGAGAATGACATTTTTTGGGAGGGAAAGAATATCGTTCATCATAATATATAGAAATATAAATAACTACACATAAGTAGTTATATATGATATATTTTCATAGAACTTTAGTCATAATTATTGTAAAAATACATAAAGTTATCTTTAATATAGCATATATAATTCAGCAACCCTAAAAATGTAAAAAAAAAAGGTATTACTTGATTTCCAGTCGATATCTGTATTGGTCGGAATGGCTCATATCGGCTATTGTTGAGATCGGTATAGGATGAGGGTGTTTTCATACATGTCTAGCCACATGTACAAGATATACTAGTCGTTCCGGCCGGTACCGAAATAGAATTAAGAATTAATATACTTGCTATCTAATGCATTTTTCTACTTATTACTAGTACTACTCCATCAATCTCTAATTCTCGCTCAGGCTATTATCTTAGAAGACATATTATGAAATGTATTTCTTTAAAAGTTTACCTCTGTGATATTGTAAAGATTCTTGTTTGTTTCGATAAACTTAGATATGGATGCACATTTTGTTCATATAGATTATAGGGTGGGCAACTTCACTTATCTTTTGTGCTTATCTAGTACAGTGACAACAACGTCACATCAGCACTATTGAATCATGTTCCATTCAGTATATTTGGTGTTGCAAAAGGCTGAAGAAGAAGAAGAAATATTGATATCTCATTGGTGATGTTATGGAACCGTGTTTTAGGACAGTCTTAGGTGCCCACCTAACCATGATCTTGATCAGTAGTAGAATTATCAAAATTTTGATTATGATCAAATTTGAACAGTATAATCAAATTTGAATTAACATCCTTCCAAAAGGAGTTTTCCAAGCAGCCAACACAGACATACTGTCGGCTCTGTATCTTAGGTGCTGAATGTTGTTGCTCAGTGCTGCACGTTCAGTACAGCTGAAGAGAATCCTCAGTTCACCACCGGTCACTTGTAGCTCAAGCTTAGGCTGACCCCATTCCCAAAGGCATTCAGAAAAAAGCCAGTGCTCATCAGTCGTTGTCTGAAGATGCAA